TTACAAAAAAAGCTTTCAAAAAAAGTTTTAAACTAAACATTATGTTTGTTGTATTATGATAAGCATAAAACTATTCATCACAAATGCCATTACTATTATTTACAAATAAAGAGCTTGTAATGAAAGATAAGAGTTGATTGACAGATAGATTGTTATTGAGAGAGTGATTGAGAATTTCAATAAATAATTTTATTTAAAATATCTCACTAATTTTAAATTTAAATAGGTAAATTTATTAAATTAACGCAACCACCACGTTATTTATTTGATAACGACATATATGAATGATTTAGAATAGTAATAAAATGAGTATGAAGTCTGTTGCCCTATAATGCCCGCGTTTGCCCAATTATGCACGCTCAGAGATCCGCTGATAATAACTCATTGAGAATACATTAAATACGTTATTATTGGTATAAATTTTCAATGAATGGAATTGTAATCACTGTTAGCCTAACCTTGTTTTTTGAATGTTCCACATATACCGTAATTGGGGGACACGCGATTGCCCCTATTCATTATAATACAGTATTTTCATTGCATTTAAATTATAAACGATATTATATTAAAATAAACTAATATGACGTAATAATTACGTAATAATAAACACGCAAATTATAAATCAAGCATGATAATTGAAGTGCAATCACAATACTCTATAAAATATGTACAAATAGGGGGCAATAGAGTATCCCCTATTACGGTATACATATATGTGGAACATCCAAAAACAAGGTTAGGCTAACAATGATTGTAATTGAAATGTTGATTATTTATACAGTGCAACCTCTCCATAGGAAACTTGCAGATGCATAGCCGAAGTGTATTTTATAAAGATAGTTATTCCAAAAAAGGTTCGGTTATAAGTTATAGAAAACCCAAAATCTGGTGTCGTTATCTTTTATTAAATGAAATTTGTTTAAAAAATAAAAGTAATTCAATACATTATTGTTTAAAGATATGTAAAATATTATGCAATATTATACAATGCAATCATATCGTTAGTTAACTGCGTGTCTGTATTGCATACTCTAATCACAGGCACTAACGGCACCGGCAATGAGTGCCGTGCTTTTGAGCGGCACAGATAGACTAATCAGATGTCCAGGAATAATCTGGATTGTCAAGGAATTGAATAAGCTGTCCAGAATTTTAAAAATATTTTTACATTGAGTCTATTAAGGTATTCAGGACAAAATAATTAGAATTAGGAAAATGTCCAGAAATCCAGGATTATTAAGCTAATTTTGTGCTCAAAATTCAGATTTGTCACGTAATCATCTGGTCAGTCTATGTACAGATAGAGCACTGACACCAAAAAAATTGATTTTCCAATCCTAGATTTCACATCATTACATTTTTATTAAAATTTGTTATAATTTCATGCAACTATAATATTAATATAATTGAATATAGTATTAATGATATGGTATTACGATAATAATGTGCTAACCTTTTGACCGACCAAACCAATGAGACCTACGGGTCCGGGCGGACCAACTGAACCCTAATTTAATTTTAAGTAGATTTTATCAAAATGTATTAAATTTAAAGTGAATTCGATATATTAGTTATATTTATAATTACGTATACAGTGTATTGGCAGTTAATGGACTGCTTATATTCACAAGTTGAATTACAATAAATAATTATTATTAAAATACAATCATATATGAATTGTGGTTAAGAATACATGTTAGTTACTGTTTAGAGAAATAATTTGTTATTTTAGACTCTTTTAATGATTTAAAAGTTATATCAAAGACTTTGTTTTGCATTTCATTCAAATTATCATTAAATGAGTCGATATATAATTGACAAAAATACATCTGTGTTTACGTATGGGTTGACAGAAGTTGTTATACATAACACACTGTTGGTCAAAATGTGTTGATATGAGAGATTAGCTGGATAAGCAAACGTACTTTTTTCTAAACGACTACAGTATGTGCACACAAATGCGAACATGAAAGGGGAAGGGTCTAGATTTCTTTAAAATGTGAGAACGTACTTTGTGAACGCCGCCTAAATGAATTGTGGTTAAAAAGTTGTTTTTATGCCATCGCTAATCAACCTTTGGTAGATTTAGCTCTATTGGTTAAAATTGGATTTTGTTAATTAATTCGTTACTTGGTTTCCAGGCAGTCCACGTTCGCCGGGAGCGCCCTGAGAACCGGGAGCACCGACGGGTCCGTTCACACCAATCAATCCGGGAAGGCCTGGCGGTCCATCTTTACCTCCAATTCCCGATTGTCCGGCTTCTCCTTGAATTCCAGGCGGTCCCAGAGGTCCGCTCTCACCTGCATGTCATTCAAGTGTCAAGTCATGTGATTATCGCTGCATTCGTTGTTACCTTGAGGTCCTAGTGGTCCAGTATTACCAATTGGTCCCACAGGTCCTGGAGATCCCTGTTGTCCATTAGATCCCGGGATACCGATCGGTCCTCTTTCTCCGGGCAATCCATGCGTTCCGTCTTTTCCTGAGAAATGTATTAAGGCTTTCAACAAATGACCACATTTTACGTAATCTATTAAATACTCTTATGTCTGCAATATTACAAACAATAAACAGAATTTTTAGTATTTTTACCCACAATTCAGATATGTATATGCGGTTTATAGGTAGGGTAACCAACTCTGATTGACCTTCACCTTGAAAAATCCAAATTTTTTCTAAATACACCTTGACCATTATTATTATTATTGCATATTTAATTATAAATATTTTTAAAATGTGCGTAAAATTTTTTTACAAAATTTTAATTTAATTCTAACATTAAGATTTATTATAATAATATTATTATATTTATTATATTATAATGTATTTACTATATAAGAAACGGGTTGTTTTGATACCAAAGTATTTTTTATGAAGGGGTTTTCCCATAAAGGGATTGTTTTACTATTATACAAATATGCAATAAATATTATACAGTGCTTTAAATAGCCATATCTTTTGTATAAATGCTTATTTTATATACGGCTACATTTAACCGAAACTGGTATCACGAAAATGCGAATAAAATCAGACTGGGTGTATATATTTTAAATCTGACTTTAGTATTTTGAAGCCAGATAATGATCAAGTATTTTGGTGTCGCTCAAATTTACCCTAATTGTGATCAACGCATGCTTTAATTTCAAGACATGCTTTTAATGGAGTTTTGCAACAAATAAAATTCATTCGAATTATGATCAATAATAATTGTATCAATAACTATTATATAGTAATTATAATGATTATAATTAATATGAGTACAAACCTGGTAAACCGGGTGAGCCCGTGATTCCCAGGGGACCAATCAATCCTTTGTCTCCCGGTTCGCCCTTTTCTCCATTCTTTGTACAAATATATGAATTTCACAAATAATGTATCGATTGTATTGAATACTTACGGCTCCGATCATACCGTCTAAACCAGTGCTTCCCTTAATACCGATGGCACCGATTTGTCCCCTTAAGCCTCTACTACCAGATGGACCACTCGGTCCGGGAGAGCCACTGAATGAGCATTTATACAAATATAGTGTCAATTATCAGTTGAGTAATTAAATAGAAAACTGCTTTTATATTGCATACCGGTCTCCAACGGCGCCATTAAATCCCTATAAAAAATAAATTTTAAATTTAAACATCATATATTGCACATGGTTCGTTTCATACTCTCTCTCCTTTATCCCCTTTTAAACCGATAGCACCGGTGTATCCCTTATCGCCTTTTTTGATGATTAATGTTTGAAATAAATTTAGAAAAAATGTCAAGATTTTAATGAACTAAATGGACCTTTTGGACCAATTGTTCCGGGGTATCCCGGAAAACCTGGAATTCCTAGTTTTCCTTTCTCTCCTTGTCTTCCGGGGGGTCCGGAGTCTCCTTTTGATCCTTTATTTAATAAATATAATCAATAATAAGTAAATCAAATCAATAAAATTTAAATGTCATATAAATATAAACCTTGAAATCCTTTGTCTCCATCCAAGCCATCACTACCATGGTTACCAATTAATCCCCTGGGTCCTTCATCGCCTTTGATTCCTTGGTCACCCCTAACACCTTGTTGCCCAATTCCTCCTTTATCTCCTTTTTCACTATTATATAAGTAGTTAATTAATTATAACATCTTTTAAATTACTGTACTTTATATTTTGAATGATTAAAATGATGTCATAAGTTATGACTCATAACAAGAAAACGTTGTTGAAATGGTTTAAAGCCGTCCGTTATATGAGGTAAGAATATAATTACCCGATCATTCCTCGAAGTCCCTGATCTCCCTTTAATAATAAAATATGTAATTATAAAATATATATTTAATATAATTACAGTACTACGTTAAACATAAGATAGTTGCATGAAATTATAAACTAATTTCATATTTTTGATCACTTATTTTCTTCTTAACTTTACATAACCGCCACATTTGGCCACATTTGGCACTGGATTATATATTTATGCGTTATTCTTATTAATTACATGTTTTTATTAATTGACTTTTCTATGGCTTAAAGACATAGAAATAAAAAAGTTTTCGGTATTTTTTTAGTCGAAATACTCACTAAAAACGGCTGAGTTTTCAGCCATTAGTGAGAACCGAGTATTTCGGGTAAAAATTGTCCGGTTTTTGAAGTTATTATATAATATATTACATAAACCCGCTTATAGTGAACAACTATTTTATCGTTATTATTACATTGTGTTTTATGAAATATACTTTATTTTGTATTAACATTGTATTACCATATCATTTGGTATATTTTGGTATTAATCTCGTAACATATTTTTGTATAACTTTATTATTTTCTGTAGATCTGTTCAACTTAATTATGGTAATTCCATGACTTTCTCCGATAGGGCAATTCAATTTAGGGTTAATTAATCATAAACCCATTTTATTTAGATTTTACTCGTACTCTATACGAGTGTTCAATTAACTTTACTTTATATAATCTCTCAACTAATCTCTTCAAATACATTATGAAATCTCATTTTAATAGTTATTAGCAGATAATATGACTATTTTAAACAATATTACATTTAATAATCATTAATAATGATTCATTATAATTGGTGTTTGTGTTCAGTATAAGCGGATTTATTTGAAATACAATACATTTATATATTCTATTATAAAATTTACTATTTATTTATTTATTTGATAAGGTTTACCGATTTATAAGTTCGGAACCGGTTTTGATCAGGTTGGCCAGGTTTGATCACGCTGAAACTTTTGAAAATCTGTACCATGTATTGGTAAAATAGTTTAATTAATGTTTGGTTAAATTAACCGGAAACAGTACTTGGCCAAATGAGTTCCGACGGTCACTTACTGGTACTTTTTAAAGCCTACAAGTATGACCATGGGGCGATTAAAAATATTTTCTTATAATATAATTTTTTTATAAGCAGATGACTTGACTAACTATTTAATCTAAAATTTTATTTGAGTTAGATTAAGTTAATTTTAATTTTCCATTGAATTAAATAATTTCAGTTTTATACGCATTAAACTTTATAAGAATAATAACCAGGAGATCGGTTCTTACAAAAAAAGCTTTCAAAAAAAGTTTTAAACTAAACATTATGTTTGTTGTATTATGATAAGCATAAAACTATTCATCACAAATGCCATTACTATTATTTACAAATAAAGAGCTTGTAATGAAAGACAAGAGTTGATTGACAGATAGATTGTTATTGAGAGAGTGATTGAGAATTTCAATAAATAATTTTATTTAAAATATCTCACTAATTTTTAATTTAAATAGGTAAATTTATTAAATTAACGCAACCACCACGTTATTTATTTGATAACGACATATATATAATCTGGTGTCGTTATCTTTTATTAAATGAAATTTGTTAAAAAAATAATAGTAATTCATTACATTATTGTTTAAAGATATGTAAAATATTATGCAATATTATACAATGCAATCATATCGTTAGTTAACTGCGTGTCTGTATTGCATACTCTAATCACAGGCACTAACGGCACCGGCAATGAGTGCC